TGGGGCCCCTGTGTCCTAGCCCACACTCAAAAAAAGCCTATAAAAAGGTACCAGGGGTATTTCATGGGGCCCCTTAGTGACCCAGGGCCCTTGGGCAGTGCCCGAGTGCTCGAATGGTCAGTCCGCCCCTGGTACAGTGTTTCATGACCACGCAATTGTCATTCAAAGTGTGATAGCACTGAAAGCTGAAAATTGGCCTGGACAGGAAGGGGGTGAAAGTGTCCGGACTTGAAGTGGTTAAGAGATCAAGGTAGACTTATTATAGTTCATTAACAAGCATCCCTAAATCTCATTTGGTGCAAGCCTAGTGCAAGATCTCCCGGAAAGGCGCTAGCCAGGGCACACCTGTGAGGCCAGGGTTATGTCACCAGTGCCTCAGGGAAACCAGGAAGTACAAATATTTATTTATTACAGGTACTTATATAGCGCCATCAATTTACGCAGCACTTCACATACAGTATATATTGTACATTCACATCAGTCCCTAACCCTCAAGGTGTGTACAATCGAAGGTCTCCCGTAGATTCATACACATTCATACAAGGGCCAATTTAGGCAGGATCCAAATAACTTACCAGTTTTTTTTTTTTACAGGTACTTATATAGCACACAGCACTTTAAATGTGTGCTGTATATGATGTGAATGTAATATATATATATATATATATATATATATCGTACATTCACATCAGTCCCAAACCCTCAAGGAGCATACAATCTAAGGTATCTAACTCACATTCATACACATACTAGGGCCAATTTAGACAGGAGCCAATTGTCCTACCAGAATGTCTTTGGAGTGTTGGAGGAAACCGGAGTACCCAGAGGAAACCCATGCAGGCACAGGGAGAACATGCAAACTCCAGGGAGGTGGTGCCATGGTTTGGATTCAAACAAACAATTATATCTGTATGGTCCTCCCACGCTCTAGGTTCCTTATTAGTTTATACTAAAAAGCTGCTAGCACCTTACCATATACCCGATGGAAAATGACAAATTGAAGACTAATTGGTGCTGCGCTATCTCTAGGTGATAAATAAACTCCTGTGATGTTAATACCCCACACAGTGTACAAACTTGAAAATAAATATACATAAACCAAAAATTATTGAATAGAATGCACATGAAAACATCCAAATAGTGGATGATAGTGAATACCACCCAAACGTAAAAAGGTGTAACCTAGGCACACCCATAGAAATAAAATAGGTGACTATAGGTGAACAAAACACATAATTACAAAGTAAATATATATATATATATATATTTACCTTGTAATTATGTGATATATATATATATATATATTACTTCTTTTTGAATTGTGCCCCCCAAAAAAACGTGATATGATCCTATTGAGGTTCCCAAAACTCAGTGATAACAATACAACACAAATAATATCCTACAACTGATTAGTTGCTATAGGAAATGCTCCCAATATTTAAGTGTTCACAGTGACCATAATAAAGGATAGGTGGAAGTGAAAAAATAAAATCTAAATAAATGAATAAACAGTAGAAAACTGGTGTGGTAAAATAAAATAAACTGCAAAGTAATTTCTGAAACACACATCTGTTACTGAAATCCGCTGAAACTTACGGATTCAAGTGAGATTTGTGAAAAAATAAATGAACGTGAAAACACAAAACAGTGGCCCCTAAATCAGGGGTATGTGAAATAGATGGTGTATAAATGACATAAATAATATGAACACAATGGGTCATGAATATCATACAAAAGACCCGATGGCGACAAGTCCCATGAACTACATATACTCCAGCCAAAAACGTGAAGTCAATACACCTAAAGACGGTGAAGGTGTCTTGTAGTTCTTAAACAGTGCTGGTATTGTGAAGGTGAATATGCAATGTAATAAGATCCAACACTAGGCGAAATGCTCCTCACCTCCATGAAGTGACTCTGCAGGGCCAAAAAGCCTTTCTCATATATTATCACATCAACCAGGACCCAGGATCCACTTCCACAGATATCAGGTCAGCAGATGGGTCAATCCCCCCCACTGGTGGATATCAGCACAGCAGGAACCCTCTCCAGAGTAGTAAGTATAGGAACAGCCAAAACTCATACAGCCAGAAGGAATGTAAAAGAAAATGCTCCTATAGTGTAATAATGTTATGGATTTAATAAAAGAAACAATCAAATGTCCACTCACCTGTAATGAATATCATATAAGCTTTAAACCACATGCTGTGGGTGTACTTGCATGGGTTTGTATTGGAGTCCCAAGATGGCGTCTGCACAGGCAATTACGTCACCACTTCCTACGTGTTACATCACGCTAACACGTGACTTCCTCAGGGTACTGTGATCAATTAAATTTTGGGAGCATTTCCAATAGCAACTAATGAGTTGCAGGATATTATTTGTGCTGTATTTGTATCACTGAGTTTCGGGATCCTCAATAGAATCATATCACAGTTTTTTTTTTGGGGCACAATTCAAAAAGAAGTAATATATATTCATAGTTTTCTTTGTAATTATGGTTTTGTTCACACATATTCACCTAAAAAGTACCTAGGTTACACCTTTTAGTAATCATCCACTATTTGGATGTTTTCATGTGCATTATATTCAATAATATTTTTTTGTGTAATTATGTGTTTTGTTCACCCATAGTCACCTATTTTATTTCTAGTGGTGTACCTAGGTTACACCTTTTACGTTTTGGTGGTATTCACTATCATCCACTATTTGGATGTTTTCATGTGCATTCTATTCAATAATATTTGTTTTGTGTAATTATGTGTTTTGTTCACCCATAGTCACCTATTTTATTTCTAGTGGTGTACCTAGGTTACATCATTTTACATTTGGGTGGTATTCACTATCATCCACTATTTGGATGTTTTCATGTGCATTCTATTCAATAATTTTTGTTTTGTGTAATTATGTGTTTTGTTCACCCATAGTCACCTATTTTATTTCTTGTGGTGTACCTAGGTAACACCTTTTTACATTTGGGTGGTAATCACTATCATCCACAATTTGGATGTTTTCATGTGCATTCTATTCAATAATTTTTGTTTTGTGTAATTATGTGTTTTGTTCACTCATAGTCACCTATTTTATTTCTAGTGGTGTACCTAGGTTACACCTTTTTACGTTTGGGTGGTATTCACTATTATCCACAATTTGGATGTTTTCATGTGCATTCTATTCAATAATTTTTGGTTTATGTATATTTATTGACAAGTTTGTACACTGTGTGGGGTATTAACATCACAGGAGTTTAGTTATCACCTAGAGATAGCGCAGCACCAATTAATTTGCAATTCAAACCAACAACTCTAGTGCTGCCAGGCAAAAAGTGCCAACCATTTAGCCACTGTGCGTGTAAATTTACCAAAAAATAATCTGATTGTACGAAGGACAACTATGGATGGGCATGCAGTGCTGCCTGTCTCGTGTATTTTTTGTGTTTGGGGAGTAAATATCCACTTCAAGGTTAATACTGGAATAGATTTCATTTTAGAAGAGAGGTCAAACAGCAGGTTATTACTGTCACATAGGACGTTTGGTATATAAATCCAGTAATTTGCTCATTCTGCACTGACACTGAATAGTTGTATCTTCCAGACTTACGTTTGCAATCTCTGCTTGAATTCGCAGTTTATCCATCATCTGTGAAAACACTGAGCAGGTCATGTGACAGTTTGATGACCTTAAATAACAATGACTATGTGCTACATCTGGAGGCTCATATAACTCAGACATGCAGTCTAATCTCACCACCTGCAAATGTTATACATCACATGGAATAATAACAGCAGATTTACAAGAAAAAAAGAGGAACTCCGGGGAATTGATTGCAAACATAATTTTCATTGTAAAATTCTGGAATCTGCTTTAAGTTAATTTTAGCATTTGAACACAGATAAAATAAACAAGGCGTGTTTATGAAATGCCAGCTGCCCTTTACATCATATGTGCATTGAAAGCATTTCTCAAAACACGCATCTATCATGCCGGGGGCAGAATATTGCTAGAATGTTAAAAAGGTAAAGTATCAGGCCCCCTTCACATTTATGCACTGTAGTAACGCATGTGATCACAACCCATGCTACAACTCGGCACTCTGTGCAGTGCGTTGCAGTGCCAATTGTAGTGTGTGCCAAAGGACCGGTGCAAAATGATACTGGTTTTGTCATGCGTTGGCAGCCCATTCGAAATGAATATGCTGCCACAGGGGTGATGCTAGGATTGTGAAAGACCACACGCACCCCTGGGCACACAGAGGAGAAGAATGTGGATGTGGCCAAATAGTGGGAGGACAGAAAAGGGGCATGGTTAACCACTTACCTACAGGGCACTTATACTCCCTTCCTGCCCAGGCCAATTTTCAGCTTACAGCGCTGTTGCACTTTGAATGACAATTGCGCAGTCATGCAACACTGTACCCATATGAAATTTTTATAATTGTTTTGAGACAGATAGAGGTTTATTTTGGTGGTATTTAATCACCTCTGGGTTTTTTATTTTTTACTAAACAAACCAAAAACAACTGAAAATTTTGAAAAAAAAAAAATTTCTTACTTTTTGTTATAAAATTTTGTAAATAAGTGAGTTTTCTCCTTTACTGATGTGCGCTAATGAGGCTGCAGTGATGGGCACTGATAGGCTGCACTGATGGGCACTGATAGGTGGCACTGATGGGCACTCATGAGGAGGTACTAGTAGGTGGCACTGATGGGCATTGACAGGCATCACTGATGGGCACTGATATACGGCACTGATAGGTGACACTGATAGGCGGCACTTATAGGTGGCCCTGATAGGCGGCACTGACTGGCACTGATAGGCAGCACTGACTGGCACTGTTAGGTGGCACTGACTAGCACTGTTAGGCGGCACCGATAGGCGGGTACTGATAGGCGGCACCGATGCGCACTGATATGTGGCACTGAATGGCACTGATTGGTAGCACTGATAGGTGGCACTGACTGGCATTGATAGGTGGCACTGACTGGCACTGATAGGTGACACTGAAAGGCAGCTCAGATGGGCACTGATATGTGACATTGATGAGGCACTGATGGGCACTGGCAGGTGGCATTGATGAGCACTGACAGCTGGCATTGATGGGCACTGACAGGTGGCACAGCTGGGGCTACACTGATCATCAGGGCACACAGATCATCAGTGCCCTGATGATCACTGTACATTTCCCCTCTGAGGAATGCCAATTACCAGCTCTCATCTCAAGCTGTCAGCATGACAGCTCATGAGGACAGCAATGCCGATAACCGGCATTTCCTTATTTACCTGCAATCAGCTGTGATTAGACACAGCTGATCACATGACCGAGCCGACATCTTCGGCTCTTTCCATTGATCGGTGATCCGCTGTGTCTGAGGGACACAGCGCACCTCCGATCGCCACGCTGCATGCTCCCGGAGCCGCACACGCACTGCTAGAGTGGGAGGACGTCATTAGCACCATCTAACTACTTTCAATCTGCTTACAAGTTCATTAACATACAAGGTACCACCCAAGTTTTGATATCTTTATCTCTTTCTTAGGACCGACATCTAGTTTACAACTGATAATGAAATTTGCCAGGACAATTCAAACATAGCTAATTATGATAGACTTCCGCAGCCTCCTCATTAATATCACATTGAAGGGCAAAGATAGGAAGGATTTTTACAGACGTAAAAAGGTAAGCAGCAATTTAAAAAAAATATATATATTATAATGTTACATTTTAAATATTAACCGCTTCCAGGCCATTCTATAGCAGAAGTACAGCTACAAGGCAGCAGGGATGTGCAAAATCACACACATGTATATGTGTATATATATATATATATATATATATATATATATATATATATATATGTGTGTGTATGTGTGTGTGTGTGTGTGATTTGCAGTTCTGGGTAGGGGGCGTGCCGCTATTGGCTCCTCGGCATGTCAATCACCGGGTCCCAGCCACCAATTCTCGGCCAGGACTCTGTGATCATCGGCGGAGCTGACAGGGGTGAGGTCTGTGTGTAAACAACACAGATCTCTCCCCTGTCAGAACAAACAGGCTGCTTTGTATTGCTCTGCACAGCAGAGCAATACAAAGAAGCTTGTCTACATATTAAAACACACACAGCACACTATGTACAACACACCACAGCACACAGTTAACCCTTTGATTGCCTCAGATGTTAACCCCTTCCTGCCCTGTGTCATTAATACAGTGTCAGTGCTTTTATTAGCACTGATCACTGTATTAGTATCATTGAGATGCCAGTGGCAGTTACTCAGTTCCTATCCAGTGTCAGAATGCCCGCTGCAGTCCTGCAGTCCCACAATAAGTCTCTGATCGCCGCCATTACTAGTACAAATAAATAAATAAAAATTCTAGTATATATACTGCCATTTGTAAATGCTATAACTTTCACGTAAACCAATTAATTTACACGTATTGGGATTTTTTTAGCAAAGACATGCAGCAGAATACATTTTCGGGCTATATTTATAAAGAAATTAGATTTTTACATTTTTTTTACTGGATATGTTTTATAGCAAAAAGTAAAAAATATAGGGTTTTTTTTTTTTTCAAAATTGGCGGCCTTTTTTTGTTTATAGTGGAACAAATAAAAACTGCACAGGTGATCAAATACCACTGAAAGAAAGCTCTATTTGTAGGAAAAAAAGAACATAAATGTCATGTATGTACAGTGTTGCATGACCGCGCAACTGTCAGTTAAAATAATGCAGTGCCGTATCACAAAAATGGCCTGGTCATGAAGGGGGGTAAATCCTCTGGAGGGCAAGTGGTTGTTAATCATTTAAATGTATGCTATATGAATGGGAACATGCAACAAATATAAAGCAGGCGTTATCCCAATTCGGCTGCAAAAGTAGAAATATGCCTTAAAGTGATTCTAAAGGCAAAAATTGTATTTTTTAAAAATAAGAAACAAGTCATATTTACCTTCTCTCTTGCACAGAGCAGCCCTGATCCTCCACTTCTTGGGTCCCCCACTGGTGCTCATGGCCCCTCCCCCCAAGCTGATTGATATAGGGGCACTGGAGTGTGTTTGCTCCGAAGTCGTCACAGTGTGTTCATTGTCATATTGTCAGCCCCACCCCTGCTCTCTCCTCGCTGGTTGTGATTGACAGCAGCAGGAGCCAATGACTCCCGCTGCTGCCTCTCTGTCCAGTGAGCAGAAAGAGAGAACTGCTGCTCTCATGCACATCACTGAATCGAGATGGGGCTCAGATATGTATTTGAGAGGGCTGTGGGGGCTGCAAGCAGAAGTTTTTCTACCCTAATATATAGAATGCATTAAGCTCAAATATCTTCTGCCTTTACAACCACTTTAAGAAAGTTTTGCTGAACACAGCCATGCAACTAGCATTTTCATGAGATCAGCAATGATTGCAGTCCCCATATTTCTCTCAATGCAGATCTCCTTTAATATGGAGGCAACCAAGGGCATGCGATAATGACTTTGTAATGACAGCATGGCTGGCAGCTTTTGCAGCAGGTCTGGACAATGATAAACCCGGCAAGGTCTGACACAACCGGTTCTGTGTTCTCTCCTCTCATACAATCCAGGAGCCTGTTTTTGTATTTTTTCCTGTATCACGTACACAATAGCTGCCCATTCTTATGTTTTCCTTAGCATGTTCTGCATATGTTTAGAAAGTAAGAAATGAATATGTAGCAGTGTGTAAGATGCCGCTGTCACTGCTATCTGATTACAAACAAATGGTATGAAAATACTATGGAAATAATTAAGGAACCTATGACTTCCTCTGTGTCACACATAAAAGGTACACTCCAGACAAGCATGAATATTTTTTTCCTTAAAGCTGAACCACAAGCGTGCAGCTAAATATACAGCTGAAAGTCATGTATTAGAGCTGTTTTACCTACCAAAGAATTTATATATCTGTCTATCCAGTCCTGGGCTATACACAGCAAAACCAGACAGCACAATCAGTCTGGATACCATTAACCACTTGCCTACTGGGCACTTATACCCCCTTCCTGCCCAGGCCAATTTTCAGCTTTCAGTGCTGTCACACTTTGAATGACAATTGCACGGTCATGCAACATTATACCCATATGAAATTTTTATCATATTTTTCTCACAAATAGAGCTTTGTTTTGGTGGTATTTACCTGCAGCTGGGTGTTTTACTTTTTGCGCTATAAACAAAAAAAAGAGCAAAACATTTGAAAAAAATGTTTCTATTATAAAATTTTGCAAACAGGTAATTTTTCTCCACTGATGTGCGTTGATGAGGCTACACTTATAGGCAGCACTGATGGGCACTGATAGGTACCACTGCTGGGCACTGACTGGCGGCACTGACTGGTGGCACTGCTGGGATGCACTGATGGGCACTGGTGGGTGGCACTGATGGGCACAGGTGGGTGGATGGCTCTGCTGGGCACAGGTGAGTGGCATAGGTGGGTGGCACTGCTGGGCACAGGTGGGTGGCACTGCTGGGCACAGGTGGGTGGAACTGGTGGGTGGCACTGCTGGGCACCGATCATCAGGGAACTGATCATCAGTGCCCTGATGATCGGTGCCGATCCCTGCTCTGACAACTGCCGGTTCTCGGCAGTACTTTGTTCATGCTGTGGCAGCCGAGAACCGGCAATTGCATTTCCCAGTGATCAGCGTGTCATTGGACACGGCTGATCATGTGGTAAAAGGCCGCTGTGATTGGCCTTTTACCACATCACATGATCAGCTGTGTTCGTAGGACACATCGATCACGGAGATCGCCGGGTGCACATCCCCGGGGGCGCGCAGGAGAGCGCGTTCTGGGAGGACGTCATATGATGGCCTCCCAGAACTGGCTGGCCACAGTGCAGCCGTCACTCGGCTATCTGCGGTCGGCAACTAGTTAAAATCAATCCTAACATTTAACCTGATTCTAACATTTAACCTATTTTTCTCCACCAAACTTGACCTGTAACTTAACCATTAACATGAAATCTATAAGCACTGACCCCATGCCTAGCTAAATCTTAACCCCTATCCTTATCTCTAACACTATTTTAACTTTAACATAGTCGTAACCTGTAAAATGAAATCTTAACAATTAGCCTAATGCTAGCATATTACCCTGATTACATACAAGGGATATACAGTGATACCTCGCTTCACCAACTTCATGCGTTCGATGACTCTGGTCGCGAACCGAGGCAAATTTTCCCATAGGGTTCAATGTAAATCAGGCTAATCCGTTCTGATCCCTACGAATGTGGTCACCAACCGAATCAAATTTTCCCTTAAGGTTCAATGTAAATAAGGTTAATCCATTCTGAACTTCATTTTTTTTTGTTTTTGAACCACAAAAATATGAAGCATAGTACAGTTCAATATAGTATGAAGAAAGAGAACACTAATCTTGCTTGAGATGACTTCTGGCGTGGAGGACAAGAAGGCAGGTGGGAGGCGGTTATTGTTTGAAGGGAGAGTCCCCCTCCATAAGGGGAGATTTCCTTCAGGCGTTTCGTCTCTTCTTTGTCTCTTAGCTGCAGGCTTAGTTTTGATGAAAAATCTGTCCAATGTCACTTGTCTTTTCCTGCGCTGCATAACCTGCATTACCGCTCTATACATTCTTGTCACCTCCATTACCGCTCTGCACTTTCCTTTTACCTTATTACCACTCTGCACATTCTTGTCACCAACATTACCACTCTGCACTTTCTTTTTACCACCATGCTTGCTCTGCACATTCTTGTCACCTCCATTACCGCTCTGCACCTTCTTGTCACTTTCATTACCGCTCTGCAGGTTCTGGTCACCTTCATTACCGCTCTGCACCTTCTTCTCACCTCCATTACCGCTCTGCACCTTCTTGTCACCTTCATTACAGCTCTGCACGTTCTGGTCACCTTTATTACCGCCTCTGCACCTTCTTGTCACCTTCATTACCACTCTGCACGTTCTTGTCACCTTCATTACCGCTCTACATGTTCTTGTCGCCTTCATTACTGCTCTACATGTTCTTGTCACCTTCATTACCACTCTGAATAATTCTGGTCACCTTCATTACCACTCTGCACCTTCTTGTCACCTTTATTACCGCTCTGCACCTTCTTGTCACCTTCATTACCGCTCTGCACGTTCTTGTGAGCTTCATTACCGCTCTGCACGTTCTTGTCACCTTCATTACTGCTCTGCACCTTCTTGTCACCTTCATTACCGCTCTGCATGTTCCTGTCAGCTTCATTACCACTCTGCACCTTCTTGTCACCTTCATTACCACTCTGCACCTTCTTGTCACCTTCATTACCGCTCTGCACATTCTTTGTCAGCTTCATTACCGCTCTGCACCTTCTTGTCACCTTCATTACCGCTCTGCATGTTCCTGTCAGCTTCATTACCACTCTGCACCTTCTTGTCACCTTCATTACCACTCTGCACGTTCTTGTCACCTTCATTACCACTCTGCACATTCTGGTCACCTTCATTACTGCTCTGCACATTCTTGTCACCTTCATTACTACTCTGCATGTTCTTGTCACCTTCATTACAGCTCTGCATGTTCTTATCACCTTCATTACTGCTCTGCACATTCTTGTCACCTTCATTACCGCTCTGCACTTTATTTTTACCACCATGCTTGCTCTACAGATTCTTTTCACCTTCATTACCTCTCTGCACATTCTTGTCACCAACATTACCACTCTGCACTTTCTTTTTACCACCATGCTTGCTCTGCACATTCTTGTCACCTCCATTACCGCTCTGCACCTTCTTGTCACCTTCATTACCGCTCTGCAGGTTCTGGTCACCTTCATTACCGCTCTGCACCTTCTTCTCACCTCCATTACCGCTCTGCACCTTCTTGTCACCTTCATTACAGCTCTGCACGTTCTGGTCACCTTTATTACCGCTCTGCACCTTCTTGTCACCTTCATTACCGTTCTGCACGTTCTTGTCAGCTTCATTACCGCTCTGCACCTTCTTGTCACCTTCATTACCGCTCTGCACGTTCTTGTCACCTTCATTAATGCTCTGCACCTTCTTGTCACCTTCATTACCGCTCTGCATGTTCCTGTCAGCTTCATTACCACTCTGCACCTTCTTGTCACCTTCTTTACCACTCTGCACTTTCTTGTCACCTTCATTACCACTCTGGTCACCTTCATTACTGCTCTGCACATTCTTGTCACCTTCATTACTGCTCTGCATGTTCTTGTCACCTTCATTACTACTCTGCATGTTCTTGTCACCTTCATTACTGCTCTGCATGTTCTTGTCACCTTCATTACTGCTCTGCACATGTTCTTGTCACCTTCATTACGCTCTGCACTTTCTTGTCACCTTCATTACCGCTCTGCACTTTCTTTTTACCACCATGCTTGCTCTGCAGATTCTTTTCACCTTCATTACCTCTCTGCACATTCTTGTCAACTTCATTACCTCTCTGCATGTTCTTGTCACCTTCATTACCACTCTGCACGTTCTTGTCACCTTCATTACAGCTCTGCACTTTCTTTTTACCACCATGCTTGCTCTGCAGATTCTTTTCACCTTCATTACCTCTCTGCATGTTCTTGTCACTTTAATTACCGCTCTGCGCTTTCTTTTTACCACCATGCTTGCTCTGCACATTCTTGTCACCATCATTACCGCTCTGCACATTCTTGTCACCTTCATTACCTCTCTGCATTTTCTTCTTACCACCATGCTTGCTCTACACATTCTTGTGACCTTCATTACTGCTCTGCACTTTCTTCTTACCACCATGCTTGCTCTGAATTTTCTTTGGAGTCATGCTAGATGTCCATCAAAAATATGCAAATGTGTACTTGTGAGCCACTTTGTGTGTGAATTAATTAATGCTATGGTTCACTGACATTAATCACATCCCCATCAATGTGCATTTATACTTAATTATTCAAAAAATGTCACACTCCAAAATACATAACAAAAAATAAATAATAAAAATATAAAATAAAAAATCCTTTAGTGTTATATCTCAACATCCACTTTGATAATTTTCTACTTAATTGTGCTATATGCCAAATATATTAAATATTCAAATTATAATTTCATTCAATGTGAAAATCTATACACATTAATCATCTGTGCCATCTAATCAAAAAATTGTGATAATAAAATTTTTAAATAAAAAATATAGACAATTCATAAGTCTGTTTAAAAATAAATGGTGACAGTCCCCAAAATGATAGTGTGATCCACAATAATATTTGGAAACTTCTGTGTGTTCTTAATGTGATTATGTTATACGCTCACCTCCTTTTATTTTTTAATTTTTATTTCAAATTTTATTATCACAATTTTTTGATTAGATGGCACAGATGATTAATGTGTATGGATTTTCACATTGAATTAAATATTAATTTGAATATTTAATATATTTGGCATATAGCACAATTAAGTAGAAAATTATGAAAGTGCATGCTGGATGTCCAGTATAGTATGGTGTTCTTACATTTTTCCTTAAAGTGTTACTAAAACCTGGACTCACTATCTCTGGTTTCCCACAGCACACAGAGAACATGGAAATGCAATTATTTTAGTAAATATAAACTGTGACATATCTTTTCTCATCAGCAGTTAGAGCAGTCTTTGGACCCTTATCAGTGTCCAGCAGAGCACATTAAAGCTTGTAGGAGGAGTTTTCATAGTCTTTACTGAGAGCTCTGGGTCTTTTAGACCCCAGATCTCTCAACTGCCCTTAAAGGATAAGTCTACTTTTTAAAAAAAAAATAATAAATGCACATTTTTTGCAGGTAAGAAAATGTGCATTTACTATTTCTTTTTTGTAGGATCCTGGAAAGCATTACACAGCATTGATCAGCAGGTCGTGTGTGCCATGCTGGACTCCTACCATACATTGTTCAGGCAGGCAATTTCACACTGGCAGGTAGAATCACTGAACTTCCAGAGCACTCAGCAGCACCACGGTAGCTCATTGAGAACTACAAGCCGACAGCTGCAAAGGATGTCGATACTTGTAGTTTCCCATTCACAGAAGTCTGTGAATGAATGACGTGGCTGGGTGGGCAGAGCCCCGAAAGGCCGTGTTTTTTTTAAATTGTGACAATGAGTGGGGGGGGGGGGGGGGGGGTGCTACAGTAACATGTTATATGTTACACCCTGAATATGGGTGTAACATGTAACATGTTACAAAAGGTGAACTTATTCTTTAAAAAAGTATCAGATCAAAGACCAAGATCAGTCTTATCCAATTTTTGCCCATTGCCCTTTGATAACGTGCTGTACGCACGAAACGTGTCAGGGTGGAGCCTAGCTGGTGACATCATGCCGTCTGGAGCCGCCTGGAGGCCAGCGGCCATACTTGTTTCTGCCATATCCCATGCATGTGAGTGTACATCTATATATACACAATAAAGGATTTTTGAAATACTACACTTTCATAACTTTGATTGGGCTCGCTGCTCCGCGAGCCCATCCTTTCAAGGTGGATTCCTAGTCCGATGCTCTATGCACTATTTGGTGGGTTCCTTACTGGATATCTGTGAATACATTACACATGGATGATGACCCCCCTGCTGGATGGATGAAGTACTAAAGCTGGTACAGATGTTAGGCTGATC